AAAATTTGATCATAGTAAAATTACATAGCGACCTTACATAGTTTTGATTACTTAGTCCGTTTACCACCCTAACGTAATTACGTAATTTTAAAAGTGACAACAAAAAAATATTTATTGCAAATTGCAAATTCTATAAATTTTGCAACTTGTAATAAAAAAAATATATATCATTATTTTCTTCAATTACAATATAGTCATATTTTAGGACTTGTATAGTAGGATATATTAGTGATCACGTGCAATACTTTTGACCACTAAGCCATTCTGTTGCTTCTTCAATTGGTTGAAAAAGCTTAATTAGATGATCAAGCAAGTCCCATTCCCAATATTTCAAAACCCGGTTTTTTAATATTTTGTAATCTTTTTTTGCTTCATTATTACTTTCTAAAGAAAGTTTGAAGATAACTTGTTTTATGGGATCTTTTAATTCTTTTAATCATTTCCAAGAAGCCAAAGAAGACCCCACCGAGTATTACATTCATTAATGGTTCTTAAGATTTTTAAAGGAATATGAATTGTTGTTTCATCTGTTTCTTTATCTGAGGTCAGTTCAGATAAATTCAGATTAGACAAATCTTGGTTGGCTGAAGCTAAACTATTTAATACGTTTTGATCAATCTCATATCTTAATTGACGTTATGCTTCTTCTAATTTTTTATTTTGTTTAGGAAAATTAAAAAAACTATTTAATTTTTTATATCTTTTTATATATGGCTTAATTTTACACAAAGCCTTGGTTACATATAATTGAAGGGTGTGTGCCGAGCATGGTACACGTTCAACATCTTCCCACTCACGAATTGCCTTTACCATATTGAAACTGCTATTGGTAACTGCTATTTTAACTTTATCGTTTAAACCTATAGATGTAATTTTAGAAATAACAGTATTACGAATGTGATCACTAGTATGAGGATATTTAATATTTTCAATACAAAGAAGGATATCATATAACTCCATATTATCATTCAACTAGTGACAGTTTATTCCTATATACCTATCTTTCGC